CACAGGGAGTCAGATTAAGGCTCTACTTGACCAGGTCAACTCTCAGCAGCAGCAACAAGAACAGCATCAAGAGATGGTTACACCACAGAATGGACCTCAGTCCAACCCAGTACCTCCAAGTCCAAGTCCAAGTCTGGCTGCATCTGCAGCTGCTGCGTCTGCTGCAGCTACAGCCAAAGGCATTGCTTCTGTTGGATCTTAGCATGCATGGGGTTGGAAGGGCCTCTTGCCTGGTGGTTATTTATTGAATTGAATGTGCATATACATATCCACCACGGCTTTCAATAAAAAAAGGTAGGGTAAATTGTTGGATATAATATACATTACATTATGTACAATCAGTTATGATTTTTCATTGAGCTAATATACATAACTGTGTGGCTTTGTTATTGTAAACTATAAAGTTAGACTGATTCACAAACAAATCTTTGTTTTTTGTGTAGGAACACATACCCATGGTGAGTCTGGCCACTGCTTTAGGAAGAGAAGGAGTCAGTGCTTTCCGCGTCAACTTTGCTGGGAATAGGTAAGATGACTGAAGTGGAAGAAGCAAACTTTTAATTTCGAGAAAAATCTTGGTGTAAAAGAAGTATTTTGAAATTTCAGAGTTATATTACAAGTTACATGTTGTTGACACAAACAATAGTTATTGAGGGTTTTTGTGCTTTTTCCTTCGAGGGAAAGTGAATGTTCCTTCATGTATGGTAACTACCGCAGAGAAGCTGAGGATTTACAAGCTGTTGTCCAACACTACACTTCTGCAAGAGGGAACGTCACGGTAAAGGTTTGTTAATAAAATATGCAACTAGGATATGAATCAGTATAATCAAACTCTAAATGAGAATAAAAAAGGAGGGAATTTTGTCGCTTTTTCCAAATTCATGAAAAATTTTATGAGTCAAGTTGTTGAATTGAATCTAATGCTCAATGTTGCGAAGAACTTTAATTTCAAATATAAAAAGGTTTCCTCAACCATGAGAGTTGAGTTACTTTGCTTTTGCAGAAAACACTAATGAAGTTTTTCCAAGTTGGAAAGAACTTTCGTTGTTGTTTCATATGTCCTCTTCTTTTTCTTTTTAATAAGAAAAAAGGAGTTTAGAAAACCAAAATTTTTACTTCATTTATCAGTTCTTGTTAAGTTCTATAATGCTGAAAAGGGTTGGTGCAGGAGGAGATGTGGTGCTCCTCTATGCTTCAAAGTACAATCAGGGTATTGACAGTTCATGGAACCCTGGATAAAAATTGTACCAGCCAAAGATGCCCTGGATTTTGCCAGGTTTGTTCGAAATCATTAACTGCACATAATTGAAGGAGCTGATCATGAGTACACTTCACACCAAGCTGAGTTAGCTCCAGTTGTGCTTGATTTTGTAAGTGCAGTTGAAGACAAGAACATACCCCGACACTTACTATCATGCAAAAGAGGACTTGATGTTATCAAATCACGTATCTGATAAATAGGGAATAACCCACATGTTAACAGTGAACAGTGATTTCTCCCCAAAGCAGAACCAAATTGGATTCAGGAATTTTTTTATTTGGTGTTATAATTAAATCTATTTTGACTTGGGGTCTTTGGTTTCACTTTTTATAAAATTGTAAAAAATTAATAAGTTTATTAACATTATTAATTATATAAAACTTTAGTATAGGAAGTATAATTAGTAGGGATTTTTTCCATTCTACGTCGGTCCGTCCCTGATCAAAGCATAAAGATGTAGCCTAAGATACTTATGAAAATAATATAACAAACAAATTGTGGGACTCAATTTGAGGTGAATGAAAATTAAAAAAGGCAATGGTCAATATGCTTCAACGGATGCCCAAACCGTAACTGTCAGTCTAAACCCAACTACTGTTGGATCTACCCATTTAAACATGTTAAAAACCAATTCAAAATTATCCGAAATTTGTAAAATTTCGATTAGGTGGTGGATGATTTTTTACTTAAAATCATATATGATGTTTATACAAATACTAAAGAAAAATAGAAATAAAATTTGTATAATTTTATTGGTGTACTATTATTATTTTTATTTCTCCCATTTAGATTTTAAACCATTTATTGGCATAACCCATAAGAATCTCAGTTCCCCTCCACAAAAATCCATGACGTAACAATTCTTCAACCAAAAAAGAAAATATCTCCAAAAAAAGAAAAGAAGGAAAGCTGTTGACAGGGTCAATACTCGACGACAGAAGATTAAAACTGAAAGGGCAAATCCGACATTTTGTAGCAAGACATTGGACTGACTCTTCTTCTTAGGCACGCACGCACCAAACCAAAATGCATAAGCTTTTGCCCAAGTGATAGTGATCTTACCATTCAGATTATTTCTCTTCAACACTGTGTTTCTGATTTTTTTTTTGTTTTGTTTTTATTTCTGTTTTCCTTCTTTTCTCGATAACCAAACGCACCCATAGACGTCGGAGAGAGAGAGAGAGCAAGGGTAGAAAGATCAGACCTTTTTGGGTCTCTGTAAAAGGCGATGGCTTGGAGACGCCTAATCACTCAGGTTACTATCCCTCTCTCTTTTAAGATTGGTTCTGCTTAGGTCTTAACTTTTTTATATATAAAATTTTTTACTTTTTTTGTTATTTATATATTGGGTTTCTATAATATAATGTTCTGAAATTTGGAAATTGAGGAAACCCTAATTTTGAATAGCTTAAAGCTGTTACGTTTAACTCTTGAATCCGAGCTAGGTATTAGAGTGGGTATTTGAAAGATTACTGGAATTGAAATTTGAAATCCTCTATTTTAATTTCCGTTGCTCAGCTGATGAGGACTTTTACTGGAACAAAACGTCAGTTTCTTTAGGGGATTGCAATTTTCATTCATCAATCTGCATATGTGGGAATGTAGTTTTGCATGAACGGTTGTTAAAAAGAAGTTTTTTTTAGCTCTAATTAGATTGCTGCAAGGTTTAGTTAATATTTTGTGTGTGTAATTGTTGCTTAGTAATTTGCATGTTAGACTTAGATTTGTAGGCTTATGCTTTGTATAAAGAAATAAGCTCCATCTTTATCTTAAAACAGGTTTCAAGACAGCAATCAGAGTTGGGGCATTTCGGGAACTTGCTCGGTCGAACTCATCATTCTTGTATGTGTGTTTCAATCAAAATTTTGTACTCTATCATTATCTTCTTAATTTTATTCTTTTTCTACAAACCACTGGGCTTTAACGTTCACTGTTAGCTTTCCTTGTTCTCAAGTCGAAAACTATGTTGCCTAATTTGCAATCTTCTTGGGGTGCAGGTAATAGGCTTTTGAGTGGCCAACAGAGGTTGAAGTCAAGCTATGTTGGCAATTTAGCTCGTAGAGTCCGTGATGCAGATGAGGCTAGTGAAGTTGCTCATTTAAGAGAACTTTACTATAGAAATGATCCTGAAGCAGTGATAAGATTATTTGAAAGTCAGCCATCGTTACATTCTAATCGATCTGCCCTTTCT